GGCACCCGGGTGGCTCGGTCAGTTAAGCGTCCGACTTCGGCTCAGGTCATGATCTCGTGTTTCATGGGTTCAAGCCCTGTGTCTGGATCCGTGCTGACAGCTCAGAGCCTGGAGCCTGCTTCAGATTCTGCGTCTCCCTCTCTGACTGCCCCTCGCCCATTCACACTCTGTCTCTCTCAAAAAACAAATAAATGTTAAAAAATGTTTAATTTTAAAATAATAATGATATCAACAAGTGTTCTATTTGCTGACTGCTTATGCTGTGCCAGGCCCTGAACTAAGCCTCTTATATACCATCTCATCTAATTACTATCCCCATCTTTCAGACCTGCCTAGTCTCCCGGCTACTGAATGGCAGAGTCCGGTTTCCAACCTCCTAACTGCCCGGACCCTTCAGCTTCCCCAAGGGCACCTGGCCAGCTAATCCTGGTCCTTACACAAGGGGCCATTGCCATTCTCCCTGGAGTTCATCGGGTCACCCACCGCCTTACCAGGGAGATCTGGGGTATCTTTCCTCTCCATCCAATCTCACCACCAACACCTGTCTCAAACCTCATGCCCCAGGTCCCCCCGACTCTCCCAGGGTTGATCTCCACCGAACACCCCGCTCGCGTGTTGTCTGGCACCCCAGTGCTTGACGTGTGGTCCACGGGCAGGCAGCCTGGGCTCTGACAAACACAAATGCAGAGTCTCAGACCCTACCCTAAGTCCACATTTTAACGAGGCCCCGGGTGACGGCATACACCCAGGCTCTTTGTAGTTTAGGTCTTCCTCACTTATCAGTGGTTTTGTATGGTCCCAGAGCTGTTTGTTGGGTGGCATCTTTGTCATTTTGGAGAAATGACAGGTGGAATGTTGGTCTGACCCGATCACTGACGACTACCCAGATTGCATACTGGGAATAGAACTGGTGACCTGGGGTTCTTGCTCCCAGAGTGATCACGTCGTAAGCCCCTTGAATGGCAGCCTAACCGTCAGTATTATCCGAAGGCCTCCAGTCCTCTCTCAGACCCTACCTCCCCCTGACCTTTGTTTGGGTCCCGGAGGTGCCGAAACAAGCACTTGTTTATGGAGGGGCTTATAGGGGCCTGCCAGAAGGTTCATGAAAGAATTGACACTTTGATTTTCTCAATGCTAAAAGAACATTCTCTCCTAGGGCTCTGACCCCACATCTCAGGTGTCCCAATTGCCCCAATCCTGGGTACATTCTTGGTGGCATAGCAGCGCTGAGTCACAGAAGGAGCCACCTCCTGCGGGCTCTGGAATTTCAGAGCCCTGTTTATAAAAGAGTTTATAGGAATCCTGTGGTCTCCGCCCAGCTACTGCCACAGTCCCCTGACTCATTGTTCTTCTCCAGAGCTGTCACTGCCTCTTAAATAGCTCTCGATTTTTAAAATCACCTATTTAACAGTGTGCCAGCCCTTAGAGAACAACTATATATTTACTCTTTCTCGCTTCCTGTGGGAAGGGTGGGGCCCACCGCTGACTGCTCTTGAGCAGTTGCTATGATTCATCCTGGGAGTGAGCCTTGCAGCGGGGCGGGAAGTGATTTGTGTGGTCTTTGGAATGCAGGTAGGGCCTTACCTTCTGAAGTGTTTGCTGATAAAGGAGAGATGTGGGAAGGCAAACCTGTTATATAAGAGCACTTGAGTGTTTGTGTGTAGCTGCCCCCCAGCCCCCACCCCACTGGAGGAGAGGGCAGTCTTTTCGGACAGCCTTTGGCAGGGTCAGAGCACCAGAATGTTCTCTCTGTCATGAGAGTCAGTGCCTCTCCTTGGGTGCAGCCCCAGGCCTGCCCTTGTGGGAAATGCATCTCCTCCAGGCACATGTGTTTGGAGTCAGAGTGCCTTGCCTGGCTCCCCACGAAGGGCTTTCAGGGAGCAGGTCTGGAGGGTTAAGCCTCAAGGCAAGCCCTGGGGGAGGCTGGGCTCAGGTGCAGCACAGGCCTAGGCCTAGTGCTCTGGGGCTGAGCCACGCTTGCACTCACTCACATTTGCAAGACCCTTAGGCCTTGGTGTGAGCGAGCCCCTGACCAGCCCGGAACAAGGCCAAGGAGAGTGTACTGCGAGAGGCAGCAGGTGGGTGGAGAGTCCACACCCGGCATGGTTGACAATCCGGGTGTCAGGACTTGCTTTTCCCTTCTCTGTTTCAGAGGTGGCTCAGAGCAGGGTCGAGAGAGTGAAGTCTGGGGTTAGCCTGTCGGTTCCAAACTCAGTTCTGCCACATGCTGGATGCAGAGTCCTAAGGCAAGTGACTTAACCTCTCTGAGCCTCAGTTCCTTCCTCTATAAAAAGGACAATAATAGGGGTGCCTGGGTGGCTCTGTCGGTTGACCGGCCGACTTTGGCTCAGGTCATGATCTCACGGTTCATGAGTTCAAGCCCTGCATCAGGCTCTGTGCTGACAGCTCAGAGCCTGGAGACTGCTTCGGATTCTGTGTCTCCCTCTCTCTCTGCCCCTCCCCCACTGGTGCTCTGTCTCTCAAAAATAAATAAAAACATTCAAAAAACTTTTTTTTTTTTAAAAAAAACAGGATTGTTGTGAGGATTAAGGGATTAATCCATGTAAAGAGCTTAGAAGAGTGGTTAGCACATAGCAAGCACTTGATGAATATTAACCATTATTCTTTGGGAACAAAAATCAATGTTCCAGAGTGTGGCAGGGATGGGGTAGGGGAAATATTTTAATCTTCTCAACCCAGGAGACAAAGTTCATCCAAAGATTTTTCTTTTTTAAGTGTATTTATTTATTTATTTATTTATTATTTTATTTTTGAAAGAGAGAGACAGAGACAGAGACAGAGCATAAGTGGGGGAGGGTCAGAGAGAGAGAGGGAGAACACAGAATCCAAAGAATCCAAAGCAGGCTCCAAGCTCTGAGCTGTCAGCACAGAGCCTGACACGGGGCTCAAACCCACAGACCATGAGATCGTGACCTGAGCCAAAGTCAGACATCCAACTGACTGAGCCATCCAGGTGCCCCAGTTTATTTATTTATTTTGAGAGAGAGAGAGAGAGCACGTGTGTGGGAATGGCAGCGAGAGAGAGAGAGAGAGAGAGAGAGAGAGAGAATCCCAAGGAGGCTCTACACTGTCAGCACAGAGCCCAGTGCGAGGCTTAATCTCATGAACCAGGAGATCACGACCTGAGCTGAAACCAAAAGTCTGACACTTAACCCACTGAGCCACCCAGGTGCTCCTCATCCACGATCAAAAAGAAAAGAATGCCCGGGACACGTCACTTCCTATTAGTGGGGAAACATTTTCAGAGTACGTTGTAGTGTGGTAGCAAAGGCCTAACTTTGCTCTAGGAGAATACAATATCTTGGGAAAAGATATTGAACCTGTGGACTGGTTCTCAAGTCTATGTACTTTCCATTTTTCAAAGTATCTCGATGGTCTCCTAAGATTAAAAGAGTATCAGCATTCTAGCATTCTGAATCTATACCCAAGCATGTCTGGTTGCTATTTCTATATTAAACATATGACTTTTACATTCAGAGGAAGGACACGTCTCTAAATTAAGGGCATCTAAATTTTTGTCTCTTTTTATAATACCTATGAGGCCAATCACCACTTCATTTGCAGAACCTGCCTTGAATCTATTTGAAATCCATGTATTAGGAAAATGCAACGCTATATTAATCTTTGTGCTTCCATCCATTCTTCCATTCAATGAGCATTTATGAAGCATCTACTACATGCCAAGTTCTATGTCAGATGCTTTAAGGCTGTAAGGATGCAAGAGATCTAGGGCCCTATCTTGGGAAGACTGTAACCAGTACACAACCTACACATGCTATATTCAGAATCAATAAAAGAGGAAGAAATAGAGAAGATACCGTAACATGTTCGCGTCAGGATTAGCTAACTAGTTTGAAATTATAACATCAAATCCAATAACATTTCCAAATGTGAAGATGGTCTCTCGATTGAGAAGTTCAGAGGCGCATTCACTATTCACCCCGGGGGAGTTTAGAGGCTTGGAGAGAATGGCAATCACACAAACCACATCCAGACAAACCAGACAAGGGTCCTCAGCTGAGAAAAGGAAAGAATCGTGTCTCCCTGAAGCAAGTGATTTCTCAGGTGGCAATGGGAAGGAAGCAAATCAAAGAATTCAAAAGTAGATTCGCATTCCCTTTCATAAACACTATCATATGACAAATTAGTGTAAACTCCACATGTACTTCTTTTTTTTAAATGTTTATTTGTATTTGAGAGAGAGAGAGACAGAGACAGAGTGTGAGCGGGGAAGGGCCAGAGAGAGAGAGAGAGACACAGAATCTGAAGCAGGCTCCGCACAGAGCCTGACGTGGGGCTCGAACCCACGAGATGCGAGATCATGACCAGAGCCGAAGTTGGAGGCTTAACCAACGGAGCCACCCAGGCACCGCCACGTGTACTTCTTGTACCAAGAAAATGCACGGCTTTCATGAAACCAAGAAGAGCACCCTGGTTGTTCAGAGAAAAGGAATTGTTGTCACATAAAGCCTATTGCCTAGCAACAAAACAGCACACCTTTCTTCCAGCCATGGACACACACAGCCTCGCCCTCTTGCCTGCTCATTCCTCCTGACTGACAAATACAGGGCTCTTTTGATAGGATCTAGGGTTGGGAGAACTGAGTTTTAAGGTCCTGGCTTAAAAACACCAATCAGTATGAAGTTTTGAAAATAGCTAAGAATTTAACCATGTAGTCAGAGCCTCTGAAAAAGCCACAATACAATAAAACAAGAGGACCATTGGGCTGAGTTCCTTTTCTGTTTTGTCTTGTTTTGTTTTGTTTTCCATACTGGCAGTTTCCCAGGAGAGTCACTCTTCTCCCCCTTAGCCACAGGCACCAAAGTCCTTCTCTGACTTTCATGCTTAGAGTGAAAATGGAGTCTTGCAACCCAGCACTTCTCTTCAGACCTTAAGTCCATTGGTGAAAACCCATGCCCATCAATGCCAGCTTTATTTCATTGCCAAATGCTAAGTCACAATGGGCAACTTACCTCCTTTCATACGTGCTGTATAACAGAACCATTGGACAGAATGTTTGCAAGCAAGTTGCTAACCAACATTCTATAGAACAGAGTGTATTCAGTGATGACTCACAGATAAATTACTTCACCCTCACGGACCTCAAACTGGGTGTGCCATTTGCTGTAGATTGACTCAACGCTTAACCCTTCCAGGTATGGAGAAACCCCACTTGCCTTCTTTCCCCCACGATACCTCAAGTGTCTCTGAGTGGTGGCAGACACTGCTGGGGAGGGACAATAGCTGTTCACAAGGGCTATCTCATCACAGAGCATGATTACTTGTTTCTCAATACATGTTGCAGCCAGCAGCGGGGCATTGATTGTGGGAAAATGCAAATTCCAGCAGTTCAGCAATTAGATGCAAAAAACAGGAGTAAAGCATCTCTAGCAATGTAAGCAGTTTTACATTCAAGAAAAGCTCAATATTCTCCAACATGTTACCCCATCCCACTTAGTATCTGTTCTGAAAGACATTTAACATGTCTTTTTCCCATCAGCATCCAAGATCTTTGAGGTCTTCAACTTTTTTTTTTAAGTTTATCTATTTGTTTGAGAGAGACTGACATGGTGTGAGTGGGGGATGGGCAGAGAGCGAGAGGGAGCAAGAGAGAGAATCCCAAGTAGGCTCCTTGCTGTCAGCACAGCACCTGATGCGGGGCTCGAACCCACAAACCATGAGAGCATGGACCGTGAGATCATGACCTGAGCCAAAACCAAGAGTCTGACACTCAGACCACTGAACCATCCAGGCACCCCAACAGACATTTATTAAATGAGCCACCCAGGCCCCCCAGGTCTTCAACATCTGATGCCAACTGATGACCTGAGTAGGAGGGAGAGGTCTGTACATCTCACTCAGGTTATGCTCCTTCTTTTTGTAAATTTTCTCTTGTGTGAAAAAAAACCAGGGACACCACAGTGGCATTAATACGAATACATGCAGCTTTAGTCATGAAAGACATATTCCCCCAATTTCTTTGTGATTTTATGACTTGTCATTTTCTTCCAATCTTCTTTCCTCTGCTTAAGATCAGTAATAATAGGAGTCTAATGACTTGTGATAATAGCAAAGGCAAAATATTTAATCCCAGCTCTGAAACGTTGGTATAGTCTTAAGACTGTTCATGGAGGGCTGGTGATTTCTGCAAGAACTAAGAATGATCTAGAGTCACAAGCTGACCCAGAAGGCTAGGGGAGTACTTTCTTCTCTTTTTTTAAGATGTTAGTTTTTAGAGCAGTTTTAGGCTCACAGAAAAATTGAGGTGAATGCACAGAGAATTCCTATATACCCTTTGCCCACACATACGCACAGCCTCCCCGTTGTCAGCAACCCCCACCAGAATGGGACATTTGTTGCAGTGGATGAACCTACATGGACACACTGTCATCATCCAAAGTCCATAGTTTACATCAGGGTTCACTCTTGGTGTTGTACATTTCATGGGTTCGGATAAATGTATAATGACATGTATCCACCATTATAGTAGCATACAGAGCAGTCTCACTGCTCTAAAAGTCCTCCGTGCTCTACTTATTCATCCCTCCCTCCCTCCAACCCCGGGCAACCACTAATCCTTTTACTGCCTCTATAGTTTTGCCTTTTCCAAAATGTCATATAGTTGGAATCATATAGTATGTAGCCTTTTCAGATTATCTTATTTCACTTAGTAATATGCTTTAACATTTTCTCTGCATCCTTTCATGGTTTGGTGGCTGATTTGTTTTCAGTGCTGTATAATATTCTATTGCCTCGTTGTACTAACCTTTATTCACCTACTGAAGGGCATCTCGGTTGCTTCCACATTGTGCCGATTTTGAATAAAGCTGCTATAAATGTTCATGTAATGGGCTTTGTGTAGACATGAGTTTACAGCTCATTGGGGTAAATATCAAGGAATATGATTGCTGAACCATATGGTAAAAGTATGTTTAGTTTTCTAAGAAACTGCCTAGCTGTCTTCCAAAGTGGTTGTACCATTTTGCATACCCACCAGCAATGACTGAGATTTCCTGTCGCTCCATAGCCTCACCAGCATTTGGTGTTGTCAATGTTTTAGATTTTGGCCATTCTAACAGGAGTGTGGTGGTCCTCATTTTTATTTTAATCTGCTGCGTGTTCCTGATGACAGAGGATGCACAGTATCTTTTCACATGCTTATATCTTCTTTGTGAGATGTCTGTAAAGGTTTTGGCCGATGTTTCAGTCAGGTTGTTTATCTTCTTATTAATGAGGGAAAGTAGTTGTAAGGGGTAATTCACTCTCTTCATCAGCTAAACACCCAGATGTCTCAGCTGTGCCTGTAAACTCTATGGTGCAGTGAAGCTCTACCTCCTTCCAGAATGGTCCTCAGGTTGGCACAAAGTGCTCAGAGGCTAAGGGCACAGTCTTGGAGACCCCAGACTCTGTACCCTTCCTACCGGATAACCTCAGGCAAGTTACTTGATCTCTTTTATGCTCAGGTTTCTTCTGCTTACAAATTAAGATCATAATAGTCCTCATGTCTAGGGGTTTGTACAGATTAAATAAGACAACATTGACAGCACTCCAGCATAGTGCCTGACACACCAGGTAAGCACTCAGGAAACATTACTTGTTATTAATAAGAAGTGAATCGTGGGAAGGAGTTATCAAGTGAAACTGGGTTTTGAGAATCACCGTTGGCCGGTTTGGTTTGTGTGTCGGTTGCTAGAAACACCATAACAAAATCCACAGACGAGGTGCCTTCAATAACAGAAATTTATTTTCTCACCATCCTGGAGGATAGAAGCCCCAAATCAAAGTGTCAACAGCGCTGGCTTCTCCTGAGGCCTCTCTTGCCAGCTTGCAGATGGCCTCTTTCTCCCCATGTCTTCCTCGGTCTTCCTTCCGTGCGTGTCTGTGTCCAAATTTCCTCTTCTTGCAAGGACACCGGTCATACTGGATTAGGTCCACACTAATGACTTCATTTTAACTTATTTACCTCTTTAAAGACCCTATCTCCAAATACAATCACATTCAGATGTCCTGAGGGTTAGGGCTTTAGAATACGAATTTGAGGTGGAGGGGCACAATTTAACAGATAACAGTTTGGAAAATCTATCTGCTTTGGTCGGGCTTTTTCAAGAAAATGGCATAAGCTTTGAAGAGACCAGGAAAAGGCAATCTCCCTGCTCTGCTCTACCCAGTCTGAAGTCTGCTTTCTGGAGCCTGGCACATGAAGGAGTCAGCACTATTAAATGGAACAAGCAAAAGGTGCCTTGATAAATGGAGTCCTCTAGAACACAGGCCAGCTACCAAATCCCACAGCCCCATGTGTTATCAGTTGAGTTGCATTACCCCAAATGTGACCTTATTTGGAGGTAGGGTCCTTATAAAGGTAACCAAATTTAAAATGAGGTGTTTAGGGTGGGCTCTAATCCAATATAACTGTGTTGTAAAAGGGGGAAATTTGGACCCAGAGACACACGCAAAGGAAGATGGTGTAAAGACACATTTACAAGCCATGAGGGAGGCCTAGAACAGGTCCTTCCTTCAGCCCTCAGAAGGAACCAATTGCACTGATACCTTAAGCTAAGACTTCTAGCCTCCAGAATTGTGGGAAAATAAATGTCTGTTGGGGCGCCTGGGTGGTTCAGTGGCTGAGTGTCGGACTCTTGATTTCAGTTCGGGTCAAGCCCCCAGGGTCGTGGGAACAAGCCCCACATCAAGCTCTGTGCTGAGTGTGGAGCCTGCTTAAGATTCTCTCTCTCCCTTTCTCTCTCCCCTCCCCACCCCCTGCCCTCCTCCACTCCCACTCTCTCTCAAAACAAATAACATTAAAAAATAAATAAATAAATGTCTGTCACTTAAGCAGGTAGTTTGTCACAGTAGCCCTAGCAAGCTATTGTGCCATGCTTCCTTTCTGTACCTGACAGCTATATAATCTGTTGATGGTATTTAGGCCTTAAGATACAATGATGAATAATTTACATATCCTGTCCTTAAGAAGCTCAAAGGCTTTGGAGGGGTAACAATTACATTAAAAAAATCATTTGGGTTGGGGTGCCTGGCTGGCTCAGTCCATAGAGGACATGACTCTTGATCACAGGGTCATGAGTTCAAGCTCCACATTGGGTGTGGAGCCTACTTTAAAAATCAGACAATCAGGGGTACTTGACTGGCTCAGTTGGTAGAGCCTGTGACTGACTCTTGATCTCAGCATTGTGAGGGATTATGAGTGTGAGCCCCAAGTTGGGTAGAGTTTACTTTAAAAAAAAAAAAAACTTAAAAACACCATCTAGGTTCAATGTGGCTGGTGTTCCATTTCCTTGTTGGTCAGGAAATAGGTTTTCAGGTTTATTTTAAATTTTTTTTTCAACGTTTATTTATTTTTGGGACAGAGAGAGACAGAGCATGAACGGGGGAGGGGCAGAGAGAGAGGGAGACACAGAATCGGAAACAGGCTCCAGGCTCCGAGCCATCAGCCCAGAGCCTGACGCGGGGCTCGAACTCACGGACCGCGAGATCGTGACCTGGCTGAAGTCGGACGCTTAACCGACTGCGCCACCCAGGCGCCCCATATTTTAATTTGGTGTCAGAACCCTGACTCTGGCTAAGGAGGAGTCATTCTCTGTGGGGTGAGGGGCAACGTTAGACCTCCTTTAGCATCCTGCCAACTGCCCTTCTCACCTAACTCCCCATCCAGTCTAGCCACCCTCCAATCCTTCCGGCACACAGGATCAGAGTCTTTGGGAAGACAAATCAGGTCTTACCACAGCTCGAACCACCTCACTCCTCTCTGGCTTAAAGCATTTCAGTGATTTCCTGTTTTCCAAACATGAGCATACCCCCCTAAAATGGCGTATACGCTGGCATGGCCTCCTGGGTCAGCTATGCTGACCTTACTCCCCCACAAGAACCTGGGTTTGCTGTTCCTTCTGCCTGAACCCCCCTTCCCTCCTCTCTTGACCTGGTCAATCTACCTCCCTCCAGATCTTGTTCATTCATCCATCATCGCTCCTAGAGAACTTTCCTTAAATACCCAACTTAGGGCAAATCTCACATGGTCCTCTCCAGCACCGGGTACATCTACCTCCTTATCATAGTTGAGATTTTTTAATTTATTGGTGCAGTTTTAAGCGCTATGAAAGCATGTCTATATCCATTCACTATAATATCTTCGGCGCTTGGGTACTTGATTGGGGCTCAATAAATATTGTCTGAATGAATCAATGAATAAGTGAGTGAGTGGGTCAGTACTGACCCCTAGAATTTCCAATTTGGGAAGCAAGCTATCGTATTTGAAAAATAGTAAAGTATTAGTGAGTATGAACACAGTACAGATTTGAGCATCATTGTAGAAACAAACTTTTTGCAAAGTTGGTTAGTATTAAAAAGCTCTTTATCTCTGGAAATCAGCTTCCTCCCATGGCTTTGAGTACATTTTCTGAATATTTACTTAATTGTCTATTCGCTAAAAAAATCTTTCACACATGCTTAGAGAGATTTTAAGTAATTCTAATCCCCTCATTTTTAAACAGACACCAGTCGCCAAGTTAATCGATTTCATTGCCAGACTGAGAATTCTCCAAGCCTTCTGAATTTAATTTAAACTGATTGCATACTGAATGAGTTTGAAGGACTGTAAGGCAAAAGTGCGTCTGCTCCAGAACTGATCTACCAAATGTTCATTGGTCTGTGCTGGTGCGAAGAGCATTCTGAGTCTAGCGGCCCGGCCCCGGAGGACGTGGTGATCTACTGGGCGCACACGGGTATAAACAAGAGTTGCCGTGCAGCAACGTAAGTGCTACCCAAGGAGGGTTCAAGATGCTATCAACCTCTCACAGCAAATGGAAAATGTAAGACTTAACACAATCACCCCAAGCCTCTACATTTTAATGAGAATCACGATTGGAGAAGGAAACACCCTGAAAAAAACCAAGATTGAATTACAGTTTACCTAACAGCAGAACAAATAGTTGGGCATTCGTCTTTCCTCACCTTTAGAAAACGCGAGCTAACTGCTTCCTTTGTCAGCTTGCCTGAGAATGCCCCTTCCGCTCTTGTCATTTCTTTGTATTTCCCTCCCTTCCTCCCTTGGCCAGGGCCTTTCTCCCGCGGTGTAATTATGTTTTTACTTTGTAGTTGGTCTTTGGCCACTGAGTTCCCTCAGGAGAGGAACTCATATTCCCTAAATCACCTGACTTTTCAGTATATCCTCCTTGATTCCTGGCTTTCTTAAAAATACAAATAAACCAACTCCCTATTAAAATACTTAAGAACTTGGAGTGGACAGGGAATTCAGAATCCTAAAATACAGGTTCAACCTTCAACCTTTCAGCTATTTTGGAGTATTTATAATGCAGCTCTCTAAACAACATGGAGATTGGGGTGGAAATCAAAACTGTTAGCCCGTTCAAGGCAGACTTTCTAACTGTGAGATCATGACCTGAGCCGAAGTCAGACACTTAACCGGCTGACCCACCCAGGCGCCCCTATAAGCATAATTTATTACTACCTACTTCTCTTCTGACCCCATTGGACAAAATGGCTCAGGTTAGTCAAAATGTTTTCCTCTGATATATTTTTAAACTGTCAGGTCCAATTAAGTTCTCGGTATATTAGCAAGTAAAGCTATTTTATGGTATCTGCTTTCTTTCTTTCTTTTTAAAGTTTATTTATTTATTTTTGAGGGGCAGGGAGGGGCAGAAAGAGAGGGGGAGAGAGAGTCCTAAGCAAGCTCCTTGCTGTCAGTGCAGAGCCTGACTCTGGGCTCAATCCCATGAACTGTGAGATCATGACCTGAGCCAAAGTCAGATGTTCAACCGACTGTGCCACCCAGGCACCCCTCCCTTCCTTCCTTCCTTCCTTGCTTCCTTCCTTCCTTCCTTCTTATTTTTGTTTTTTAGTAGGCTTCACACCCAGCATGGAGTCCAACTTGGGGCTTGAGCTCATGACCATGAGCTCAAGACCTGAGCTGAGATCAAAAGTCAGATGCTTAACCAACTAAGCCACCCAGGTGGCTCATTCATTCACCCACTGCATTCAGAATTTATAGAAAGTAGAGTTTCTTGTTATGTAATTAGCTAACAAGAGATGTCCCTTCCTGAGAGGAGAGGTGCTATGCAGGTGGCCTGCTAGTGGACAGTAGTCTCTTTTGCTCTCTAGGTCACTGTTTGTTTGGACCCCAGCAATTGACTCCAGAGCTAATCATATAGAGAGAATGATATGAGAAGCCAGAGTCACTCACTCATGCATTCGTTCATTCAACTGATATTTATAGTTGGTGCCAGGCAGTGTCCTTGACCTTGGGGAAACAGCAGAGCACACCACAGGCCAAGTGCCTGCCTTCATGGAGTTTACATTCTAGCAAGTGAAACAGACCATAAATATATAAACAAGTAATGATGTACTTTTATGTCCAGTAACATTAAGTGGGACGGAGAAATTAAGGCAGATGAAGGGGTCAGAGCTGATGACAGGTGATATGAGGGACCTATTACTGACATATCCCAGTTTGGAATTAAAAAGAGGCCTGCAGAAATGCTCTGTATGTCTTGATGTTTCAGGGGCTGTGTGGTACTCCAAATTCACATCCAGGTTACGGTCAGTCACAAGGATCTACAATTAGCTGAATTGTAAAGGTATACCACTCTGAGTGTCGCTTGTGAGTGACAGAAAACCCAACTCAAACAGGTGTGGGAAAGAAAAGAGAATCTCTTAGTTTGCTTAACTGAAAACTTCAGGGGGGTTGGCCAAGCTGGACCCAGGAGTTCAAATAATGTCATTTGGACCCCAACCTCTCTTCTCTTGGGTATGCCTTCTTCCATTTTTACTTCATTTTCAGCAGGGTCGAGCAGATATCTGAATAGCTGAAGTCCATCTCTGTCTCCCAAGAGTTAAATCGACAAACAAAAAATGGAATTGAGTCCCACTGAAAGAATTGAAGATCTCTGCTGAAACCAGTCACTGTGGACAGGGGGATTCCACCTCCTCACTGGCCATTCTGAGACACGGGTCCAAACTCAGAGCTAGGGTTCAAGGCAGCTCAGCAAACCACATGGGCCAATGATGGAACAAGGCAAGCACTGGTTCTGTTACTGGAAGAACGGGGAAAGGATGTTGGGGAACTGAAATCAAGAAATGTCCATGATCACATACAGAAACTCTACTCTTTTACATCCTCTCCAACACCAATTTCGTTACTGATGTCACAAATACCATCTTTTTATATTTTGTATCCATTAACATGGGGGTATAGTTTGTATTTTGGGCTTTTATCCTTTGAATCCTACACCAAAATTAAAAGTGATTTATGCACCACCATTCCAATATTACGGGATTATGTATTAGTCTATGTGTTTACCTTTATCAGAGAACTTTATATTTTCATGTGCTTTGTGTTGCCATACAAGTCATTTTCTTAAGAGGAAAGTGTGTATACACACACACACACACACACACACATTTCTCATTTTGGCAAAGTCCTTGTCCTTCAGTTACCTCGGGGTTTATTATTATTCTGTCTTATGGATTTTTTAAAAATAATTTATGATCTTTTCCTTTAAGCTTGAATAATTTTCAAGGTGCTTTCAGTCTCTTGTTGCTTTTCCAGAACCTTAGGTCACCCAAACCTAGTCTCTGAACTTAGCAGAGGTAAATAATCTCCTTGCCTTAGAAAAACTTAACCGCGAAGAGTCTCAAATAAATTGTTTTCTCCTCAGTGTATTTCTCTCATTGATTGCACGGCTCAGAACCCCACCAAAATGTAACATCGTCCGAGATCCATGCATGGTGAGCATTTAGCGGGACCATGCCCAGTGTGGTCCTCTGCAGTGACATGTCCTGTTGCGGAAAGCAGTGGTCCCAGAACCCTAGAGATTTTCTGCAGAGAAACTTTACAACATCACTTCCTGGAAAGATCCCTGGCTGGGATCTTTTAACGCACCTTGTGGAACTCAAGTGGGAAATCCAAATTTCTGAAAGTCTAAAGCAGTTGTGTTATTCAAACAATTAGGGATTTAAACAATTTGAGCTGTTTTTAGTTTGTGCAGACCACAAAGTTGTAAATAACAAACGTAAAGGCTTCATGCTGGGCATATAATACGGTTTTCTAAAAGAAGTTGCCATGTTCGTTACCACTGTGGGGTTAGAGGTATGGGAACCTGCCAACAGTGGTATGTTTCCTGGATGCCATACAAGCTACACCTGAAGTTTTAGGTACTTTTTACGGCAAGTTAAGTGCTCTCCAATAGTCTCTGCATTGAAGTCTGTTCATATGGTTTGTTGGTGAAATTATTGGGCAGCTTTTGCTGATAATTATGAGGCTTCTGAACTTAGAATCCACTTTGACAACATTCTGCTGAGACTGCATAGGTCCCTAGACACACCAATTGCATGCCCTGTATTGCAGAGTTTCCTTACCTGGGTAAATGCAAATGTGATCAATAAATACAGAAAAGGAATGGAAACTGAATGTGGTAATCAACATACCAACTGGGATCCAGGCCGTACTTTTTAGAGCTTGCTTTTCTACCTGTGGATCACCTGCTTACCACAGTTTTCTCCCTTCTCTTTATCTGACCCTGATCTCTCTCGCATTAGAAAAAAAAGACACCAGGCATTCTTCTTATTGCCCCAAAGAATGTGAGCTCTTTATTCTTTGACCTCACCACACGTTGTAACTTTCGCGGAAGTTCCTTAGATCTGCGCAGTGTTCCAGTTATCTATGCACATCGTATCCTTGCCCTCACTGGCTAGACTGAAGGATGTAAATTTAATCATGAAACTTCCCACGTTTGCCGCGTGTGTCGGTGTTGTTCAGCGCATATGTTGTCTGGTGCAATGATGTCCGACCCTTTTTTTTTTTTTTAATTTTTTAATATTTTATTTCTGAGAGAGAGAGCTCGCACAAGTGGGGGAGGGGCAGAGAGAGAGGAAGACAGAAGATCAGAAGCAGGCTCCATGCTGACAGCAGTGAGCCCAATGTGGGGTTTGAGCTCAGGAACCGTGAGATCATGACCTGAGTGGAAGTCGGATGCTTAACCAACTGAACCACCTAGGCACCACCTTTTTTTTTTTTTTTTTTAAGCTTATTTATTTATTTTTGAGAGGTGGGGAGGGGCAGAGAGAGGGAGAGAAAGAATCCCAAGCAGGCTCAGCAGTGTCAGCACACAGCCCAACGCAGGGCTCGATGTCATGAACCCTGAGATCAAGAGTCGGACCCTCAACCAACTGAGCTACCCACGCACCCCTAATGATGTCTGACTCTTAAATGTGTGGTTCCTGGATGAAACTCCATCATTATCTTCTTTCCTGAAAATGTGCTTCCCACTTTGGTACATCTCCTTGAAGCAATTTTTCAAGAAATTTCAAGGAGTTGGTGGTTAGTCTACAGTGGAAATATTTGTCTAGTATGGAGTCTAGGGAGGCCAGACGCCAGGTCAGCATTTTTCCTGAGGAAAAGGAACCCCCTTGAAACAGAAGCATACAATCTTGGGTGTTCATGAAATAGAGAAAGAATGAGGGATGCCAAGTTTCATCCTATGGCAGATGGATGTTGAGCCTCAGACATATTTTCTTCTTTCTAAGAGTAATTAATGGATTTTTCACTTCTGGTTGTGAAAATGAAAATAAAAACAAAGCAAAGCTGTGATGGTCCTCTGCAAATTTGGATATGCTCTGGAAATGTCCTTTCAAGGGTTGGCAACCTCAGGACATAAACAGCTGGCATTTGAATCATGTTCTTATTTGATAGGGCAGATTTTACCAGCCCCACCTGATACAAGAGAAGACTGCAATCGTGGAGGTCACCCCAGCTACTCCAACGTAGAGTTTTCTTTCAGCCCCAAGTCTCTGGTTCCATCTCCTGTGCTGTGCCCACTACCCACACTCGTCCTGTAGAAGAATCTGATTCTTCACAGAAATCATGGAGGGCCCCAGAGCAGGAGGTCAAGCTCTGGTTGCTAGCTTTTCATTCCAGCCTGAATGTCTCTTTCAGGACGATGCTGGGCCCCTCTGATCCCTGTCTTCCAGGCCCCCATTCCCCAGAACATGTGCGTGCACGTGCGCGCGCGCGCGCACACACACACACACACACACACACACACACACACCAGCTACAGAACAAAAAACAGGGCGTAGGGTCCCTGCCTGCTCCACCTTCACATTCTCACAGAACCAGCCAGGATTCCCCGCTGTGAGGACGGGAGCCAGAATCTCCTGCCATCCAAGCAGGGACAGGCAGTGGCCACCATGTCACCTCAGCAATTCCCACGATGCCAGGGGACGGGCTAGAGTCTCCAGGGCTTGCTGGCCACTGCCTCTCCCTCCCTCTGGAGAAGCTCATCGGTTCAGGTATTCTGCAGGCCTGCCAATTTAGTAAATATTTATTAGAGACAGTGACTCACATTTATTTATTGAGTCTCTACCCTGTGCAACACACAGCACTACTACCTACTAATTAAAATTTCCCGGGCACTCACTGAGCACATGAACTGGCATTAACATCACAATAGCTCTAGGTGTTGTGGTTATTTTACAGATGAGAAAAGACAAATGGCTTAAGGATCTTGCTCAGGTTTTACAAGAGGGTGAGTGACAAACCCAGGTCTGTTTCTCTCCAGAACTACCCGGCTGTAGGCAAGGAGCTGAGGATATAGAAGATGGCGGCCTAGATACCAATGTCATACCGGGTGTGATGGGTTGAACTGCATCCTCCAAAAAGACATGTTGAAGTCCTGCTCCCCCATACCTCAGAATATGAGCTTATTTGGAAGTGCGGTAATTACGGATTAATTAGTTACAGTAAGATGAGGTCAGATGGAAGCAGGGTGAACCCTTAATCCAATATGACTGGGTTCTCATAGGAAGAAAAGAGACACGGAGAGAAGGGGGCCATGTGATGACTAGGCAGAGACTGGATAATGTGGCCACAAGCCAAGGAATGCCCAGGGCTACTGAAAGCCAGAAGAGCTGGGAAATCACTGGGAGGTGGTTTCTGAGGGAGCACGGCCCTGCTGACGTCCTGATTTCAGCCTTCTGGCCTCCAGAACCGTGGGACAATAAATTTCTGTTGTTTTAAGCCACGAAGCATGTGATGCTCTGTTATGGCAGCCCCAGGAAGCTAATAAACCAGGTTAAAAGAAGAGTGTTTTAATAGAGGTATGCAGCAAGTAATATAAGACTGAGTCTGTTGGGGCACCTGGGTGGCTCAGTCGGTTAAACGTCCGACTCTCGATTTTGGCTCAGGTCACGATCTCACGGTTCATGGGATTGAGCCCAGCGTCAGGCTCTGAGCTGACAGCACAGAGCCTGCTTGGGATTCTCTCTCTCCCTCTCTCTCTGCCCCTCCCCTGCTTGTGCACTCTCTCTCTCTCTCTCTCTCTCTCTCAAAATAAACATTAAAAAAAAAAAAAGACTTAGTCTGTTATGTAAGAAAACAGAGTGGGAAGGCCTGAAAAGAGGAAAAAAAGGGTGCTCGTTTGCACTTAGTCTTTTTTTTTTAATGATTTAAATATTTTTCTAATATTTATTTTTGAGAGAGAGTGAGCACAGGGGAGGTACAGAGAGAGAGAGAGAGAGAGAGAGAGAGAGGGAGACATAGAATCGAAAAGCAGGCTCTGTGCTGACAGCGGAGAGCCTGATGTGGGGCTCGTGCTCACAAACTGTGAGATCATGACCTGAGCTGAAGTTGGATACTTCACCGACTGAGCCACCCCAGCACCCCTGTACTTGCTCCTGAAGGGTAAGTGGGCTTCGGGAAGTGAATAGATGTGGCGGAGCGCTGAGCACCACAGCCAGGCCACGGAAAGGCACAAGCCCAGGCACAGAGGAGGCGGCCCCTGACCCGCCTGGAAGGGGAGAAGGCCTGTGTCAGTGCAGTAAGGGGGTGGGGAGTGGTTGTCAGGCTGTTGTCCCCAGCCTTGTCCGGCACCCCTTCCTCAATGAGGGGTCCAAGTTGTCTCCTCTGGGCCCAGGACCCATCTTGCCCTGAAGCAGCTTTACTCTGCGGGACACGACACCAAGCTAGCCAAGGTCTGCCCCCTTTCCTGCTTGTTTTTATGACACCTTCAGGTTCCCCAGTCTCCTTGTGCTGCTCAGTCTAGTAACCAGGTTACTCCATTCATTTGCAGGTCCCCTCCCTGGGAATCGAGTCCTTCCTCTGTTGCCTGGGCCCTGGACCTTCCCGGAGCCTGGTGACTCCTTCCAGGACCTTCTACCCATGATCACGCCCACTGAGCTGCCTGGCTGTGCCCTCTGCCCAGCTGGGCCAGCCTGTCTGGCCCCACAGATGGCCTGGTTCCAAGTCCCAGTTCCTCGCAGCCACTCCAGC